CTATTCACCAGTTTCTAAAAATTCCACCCAGACACAGTATGGTTCTAGAACATTATCAGTCACACGGAAGTGGTAAACAAGTCGTATGCGACACCAACCATTTGGTGATAAATTCGGATGTAGCTAAATCATTGGTGCGCAAGTTTAAATGCTATTTCACAAAAAGTCTGGGACTTTCACTCAGTTGTTGAATTTTCTAAGACATACATCAGATTACTTAAGACGCAAGGGCATTGAATCTAGTTTTAATGGATTCTACTGCCTACTCAGTCAAGACGTTTCACTGATGAAGCAAGGATTGAATTGTGTACCACTATATGGTACAGAAAAGAACTTGCTTATCAAGATGTTAGTTACTGGGAAATTGGTTCTTTTGGGGTTCATCCAAGCATGGGCAATTGAGCATGCATCGCCAAAACTGAAAAACTATTTTGCAGGGTATCAAAGACAATATATAAAGTCTATGGAGGAACAATATATTATAAACCGAAGCAGGGTTTAAAATTAAAAATTAAAGTCAGCTGTCCATTGGAAAAAATCCCAATGATACTAGCAAGATAAAAAAAATTGAAATAAACCAGTCATTTTGGGTTTATCATCATTTTACAAAAACTCTAGAGCAATTAGCATTTTGGAATATCCTATCTGGTCAGTTAGTAAAAACTTGGTATCTTTTATTCAGCTGTTGACAGGTACAGGAAATTTATATATTACATATATATATTCACAGCCTGAACTTTTATTCAGTTGACTTCCTCATTCAAAGCACCAATTAGAAAGCATGCATTCAATTTTGTGTAAAACAATGCACTTTATACACGTGTTGCAAACGCATGGTATATAGGAACCGTAACATGGTATATAGGAACCGTATCAAACATAGTGCTTTACTTATTTGGAAATTTAGAAAACTAAATTCTTTAAAATTTTCTTCTCTTGCAATTTTGTGGGATTCCAGAGATCAGTAAGATATTTGATTTATTATACACGTCTGATAAGCTATTGCTATCGCCAATATTTTGAAATTCTAAGAATTGCTTCAGTACGACACAGCATTCTGATTGGTTAATAACAGACTTGACCAGTCAGGTCAGAAGATGTTGCAGGTCAAATCGTGCATAATAACATCATGGAATTTACTTTGCATTGAGATTTTGCCTACAATCAAAAACATTTAATAACGAAGATAATGATGAAACTCATGATTATGGACGTTTGTTTCGTCATTATAAAAATGTAAAAATCAATGGTGACGCAACTTATCAGGCAATTTTTTCACCTAAAAAAAAATCTAATTCCCTTTCTAACCAGGCACTAAATAAACAAAAATTGTCATTTGCATAATTTTTCGAGAGGCTGCTTGAGAGAGGTTGATTTTTGTACCCTGTTAAGTCGGATGAGTATGGCAGTAACATGGTTTAACATCAAAACATATGTCCTCCATAATCAGTCACAAAAACAACCATTTCAAAATTAATTGAATATAGGTAAATACCTCACTGATATTTCTATCATGGTTACTATGACGATCGGAACTGCTATGAGAATTTGAGCCAGCATTTGATTGATGATTAGTTGAGTTTTCTGATGGAGATATACTGGAACCTGCAAGTAAAGAGACATCTTGTCAATGACAAATTATACAAATGCCACATAGACTCCAAAAAAGTTAACTTACTTCCCTACCTGCATAGTTCGACTACGAGTAATTATTAAGATCATTTGTAAGCATTCTGCCTAATAAATGAGGGGCAACAAATTTATTACAATGTTTTGTTTCAAAAGTATTACATAATTGTTGTTAATTTTTAGCTTTTTTAAAACAAAATTTTCTGAATCAGTTTCCATAGGAATTAATGATAAAACATTTCAATTTTTTAATAATAAATACCATTCATTAATTTTGTTATAACTACATGCTTTTTTTACCATAAAAAGAAATTTTGACATAAAAAACCCTTTTTATTATAAAAACAAAAGATAAATTGTTTGAAACATATTTCCAAGTATGTTTGAACGTTTTGCATAAAAGGTAATTTGATGGCCATTTATTTAGTTTAGTAAACAGCAACACAAAACAAGCAGCCTGTCGGCTAAGATAGCTCCGCTGTTAGCAATGCACATTTCAATTAAAGAAGATATTAGAAAATGAACAATATGTATAGTATCAAAGCAATGGGACTTGCTGTTTTCAAAAATATCACTTGTCACCAAAAATGACGAAAATATTCACCAAAATTAGCGAATTAAAGGTATCATTACAAAATGAACAAATCTGAGAGAGGTCTACATGTACCGGTAGTACCTATCAAAGCAATCAGACTTGCGGTCTTCAACAAGAAGTCGAAAATATCACTTTTTATCAAAAATGACAACAAGCAGCCTATCGGCTGAGATAGCTCCGCTGTAGCAATGCACATTTCAATTAAAGAACTGAAGACATCATCACAAAATGAACAAATCTGAGAGAGGTCCACATGTAGTACCTATATATGTAATATCAAAGCAATCGGACTTACAGTTTTCAACAAGAAGTCGAA